ATAAGTGAAATCTCAAAAGAAATGGGATTGATATTCCAAAGCATTAAGGACACTATGACAAAGAATTACAGGGAGATAAAGAACCTATTGGATGGCATAAATGGTAAAATAGAAAATACCCTGCAACTAATAATGAATGAAGACCAAAAATTCCAGGAAAGAGAGGAGTCAACAGAAAAAATGGAGGAAAGACAGAACAGAAAAAACAGCAGATACAGCAAGAAGATGAGAAGGAGAAAATAATAAAGATAATGACTGATGAAATAAACCAATGGGAAAGTACTTTGAGAGATTTAAAAATAGAATTAGATAAGCAGGAAGATACTTTTGAAAGGGAGATAGGGACTTGGGTAGATACTCTGGAGGCCGGGCAGCATAGGAGGATAGAGATGAGACAAATGTTTAGAATGAATAGTGAAGACAGAGATGTAGATAGAGATAAGGATCCAAAAGAGAAGTATGGGAGGCAAGTTAAAAAGCGAGTAAGAATTGAAGTATTAAAATGGGCAAGAGATGATGGATAGAAAGTAAATGTTTTTTTTCATTTTTGCTTTTTTTAGTATAATGATGGGCTGATTAAAAACTAGAATAGAGGTAGAAATAAGAATACACACTCATATAAAAGTAATAGCTAGATGGAAAGATTAGAGGTCGAAAGATTATATTATTAAGTATGTTTAAATAATATGGTGATTGGCACTAGAATGGTACATTGAAACATTGAATAATTAAATAATAGACAATATCTTAATGTAAACATGTGTATCAACACTAGGATCAGCCTGGTTAGAAGCCAGAATAGAGGTAGAAATAAGAAATAGGGGAAATATTAGCACTAATATTTAGTGCTTTATACACTAGAATAAAAGCAATAACTAGAGGGAAAGATTAGAGGTTGAAAGATGGCATTACAATGTAAGCTCAAATAATATTGTGATTGGCATTAAAATGGAACATTGGAATATTGAATAACTACTTTAAAACAAACATGTATACTAGAATTTCTTAAGTTTGATTAATGTACTGTATTTTCCAGCGTATAAGACGACTTTTTAACACATGAAAATCTTCTCAAAAGTGGGGGTCGTCTTATACGCCGGGTGTCGTTCTCCTGTAACCAGGCAGACCAGCCCGAAAGGCTCTGACGAGCCTTAAATGGCTCTGGCGATCCAAGCTCTGACGTTCCCAGCTTTGCCTGCTAATCAGGCAACGCAGCTGGGATCGCCAGAGCCATCGATCCAAGCTCTGATGATCCCAGCTGAGTTGCCTGCTAATCAGGCAACGCAGCTGGGATCGCCAGAGCCATGTAAAAGAAAAAAAGTTTTTTCCTTTTACATGGCTCTGGCGATCCAAGCTCTGACGATCCCAGCTGAGTTGCCTGCTAATCAGGCAACGCAGCTGGGATCGCCAGAGCCATGTAAAAGAAAAAAAGTTTTCCCCTTCCAGCTTGCTTACCTTAGCTGCTAGTCGTAACGCTTGCCTTGCTTCGCTTGCCTGAATCAATTCCATCAGCAAGCCACTCCCTGCCTGCAATCAAGCAGGCAGGGAGTTGTGGACTTCAACTCCCAGAATTCCTCAGCCAGCAAAACAAAACTGGCTGAGGAATTCTGGAAGTTGAAGTCTACAAGTCTTAAAGTTGTCAAGGTTGGAGACCCCTGCTCTATTGGGTAAGTTTTTTTCCCCTTTGGAAGCTTTAAAAAAAATAGTTAATTGGGGTTTTTTTTAGTTGTTCTTTTTTAAACCTAGCCATTTAAAGTTTAGGAAGTTTTAAATTTAGTTTTCATATAAAAATAAAAATAAAAAAAAAATTGTGCAGTTTTCTGAGATTTAGTGTGTTTCTGTAGTGTTTCACTCTAACTACACAAACACACAAAATCTCACAAAGCTGTATGTGGAATTTTGTGTGTGTAAAGTGTGAAAGTTGTTTTTTTGGGCTTTTTGTGGCTGTGTGAGGTTCCTGCTTGTTGCAGGGGTCATTTTGGGTCTAGCACAGCTGCTTTTACATTGTGGGTGGGCCAGTTGATGTTTTTTCATTTTTATTTGGTGTGCGTTGGAAGAGGAGTAGTTTTATACGGCGAATATAGCCCAAACCCTATATTTTAACAGGAAAAGTCGGGACTCGTCTTATACACCCAGTCGTCTTATACGCCGGAAAATATGGTAACAAATATTATTAATATCATTATTGCTACTTGTCCCAAAATGAATGATACCCAGATGCCACTGTTCATGTATTGATGTTAATGTATATTTTAAAAATAAAAATCCAAAAACTTTTTTTAAAAAATCAAGCCTCTAACTAAAAAAAATACCTCAGGAGGAGTTCAGGCTACAGAAAGTCTGGGCATGCTGCCAAGAACCATTAGCTGTTACAATGTAGCAAGGCTTAATTGCAGAGGCAGTTACTGAAAACACTTAAGCAGGGCAATAAAGATAAGAATTAGGCTAGAAACACCACACACAGGCACACCAGAATGTCTCCTTCCTGTCTGTAAGGTGGGAAAAACAAAAGGCTGTTTCTTTCAACAGCGGGTTCACTGAACTGCTCAGAAAGTTAGCTACCGGTTCTTCTGAACCAGTGCGAATTGGCTGAATCCCACCACTGGTCCCAAATCATGCAACTGGCTTAGTGCCTAAGGGTGACTAGAATTCACAATCTTTTCATTTCAAGCCTGATGCCTCAACTGCTACACTATCTGGCTCTCACTTACATAATGCAAACCTAAAACATCTGATAATGGTGTATCAATGAAAGCAACCTATTAAAAAGATTAAATTCTCCAGTCTTGAGGTACTGTCGAGTCCTACCGGAGCTCGCCATCAATGGAGGGTGTGGGAGGAAAAGGAGTGGAGATAAGCAGCCGCAGCGAACACACAAATAGTTCCTGGATAGCAGCATTCAGGGCGATGATTGATGACGTTGCTGGGCCTCTCCGATTCTGCTGTCCTCGCTGCTCTGGTGCTCGCAGCTGTTACTGTTAAGGGAGTGGGGGGTGCTTGATTGATAATCACCGGATGTATGTTTAAGGGGCTGAGTTTTTGTTAAATAGCACTGTGGTGTGATTACACCCAGCGCTGACTTTGAACCAAAACACCGACTTGTACTTTACTTTTGACTGCAAGCTTATCATTGCCAAAGTAAACCCTGATTCTCTGTGCGTTACTGGTGATTATTTCCTATCGCAGTTCTGAACGAACGACAAGCCGAGAGGTACATTAATTCATATAAGTTCATACCCAACTTTGGTTTTATTTTGGAACAATATTGTAACTTATGTAGGTAGATATATGGATACATTTTTTCATGTTAAAGATGTTAATGGTATTTTGCATTAACATTTTATGAAACCATAGAATTTGATTGTTTTTAAGGAAATTGTTTATAATGGGGAGCAACTAAGAAAATAACAAGTATTGACTGACTGGAAAGGTCCTGCTTCTTTAGGTGTCAAGGAAAGTATTAGTATTCCAGGTTGAAAACTGAGTTTCAAGAAATGTATAATTTACCAATACTTGAAAAGGTTACTTTTCTATAAATCAAAAAATCAACAATGATGGCTAACCTTTTCCGGACCGAGTGTCCAAAGTGCGCCCAAACCCCCAAAATGAAATGCATGTGTGACCCCCCATACATGCCCCACCCCGTGCATGCGCATGTGCCCTGCCCCTCGCACATGTGTATGCAGCCCCTGCACGTGCCCAGCCTCCACACACACATACACGGCAGAAACCAGCTGGCCAGGGGGAGGCATGCAGGATGTGCGGCAGAGCTGAACTGGGGCGATGGCTCACGTGCCATCAGAGGGCGCTGTGTTCCACCTCTGGCACACATGCCATAGGTTTGCCATCACGGTGTTACGATTCCCTTTGACATAGATTTTATTGTATTTTCCAAAAATAAATACCTTAATGTATAAACTAGACAATCTATTCCAATATGTTAATTTTTAGAATTTCTAATTTATGATTATTTAAGTTTTTTGTTTTATATTATAACAATAACATTATTTGTTGGATGCATGGATATAATCTTTTTAAAACTTATTTTCATCCATTTTCTGCATATTTTATTTTTTATTTTGTAAACAAAGGTTCTGTTATGATTTTATCTATCATCACTGAGAGAAATTCCTTTTTTGTTTCTCAACCTGATGGTTCCATATTTCCTCAACCCAGATAAATCAATGAAGATGAAGGCCCTGATCATAAGACAATCTAGAGAGCATTTGCAGCTTACCCTTCCTTAGTCTAGCTACCAAATTCCAAGAGCAGTTGTCTTAGTTTAAATATATGTAAATACTAAGAAATAAAAGGTGCAGCAGACATTTAGAGTTATCAGAGTAGTTAGTAACTTTGTGATTCAGAGTCCCATCCAAATAAAATATGGCATGGATTGTGACTGGAGAAACCATAACAGAAGCTCTTTTGTAAAAACATATATTATTTCCTGGATTGTCTCCAGGTTTTCCTGGATCATGCAAAATATGCCTCATTTTCCTCTTCTACATAACTATTTATTTTCTAAATTTTGCCTGACAATATGTCAGTAAGCATAAATATTTGGGTGGAAAACTGTTCTTGTACAAGCATGAACCAGATAGATCTTGAACCTTTAACTGCTTAGCAAATAAAAAACTAACCCAACAATTAAACCATGCAGACCAGAACCTGTACAAAAGTCAGTCTAAGTGGCTTTTGTGATATTCTAACCCACCTGCAAAATGCATAGAAACATGAAAATGTTGGCAAAGAGAATTCCACTTCCTGCCAGCAAGAGATGTCTGACTTTGCTTGCTTTTGATAGTACAATTTGAATTATTGCGGAGCAGAAATTTAATGAGATAGCTAAATTCCCAAACTTGGCTTTAAACATTTAAACATTAAACACCAGGAACATGTCACAGTACGAAAAATAACAATTGGGCATTAATTACTAGCGCAGAATTTCCACTTTAAATAACATCTAAGATAAGAGAGTTCTGTTTAATATAGTTACTTACTACATGCTCCACAAGTGAAGCATCCATCATGGTAGAGATTCCCCATTGCCTGGCAGGCCTGGTTTGCACCATATACACCTTTGCTGCATTTCAGGCAGGTTCCTGAGGAGGAGGGGGGAGGAGGGGGAGGAGGAAGATTAAAAGATGATTTATCAGAATCAGATTACACAAATAATAAAAAATATCCCCAGGAGAAAATGAGATATTTAGTTTTATAGCATCAAGGATTTGATGAAATGTTACATTAAAGCAGACAAAGAAAGAACAAAGCAGTAAGGAGCAAGGAAATGTAAGCAGATTTTTTTTAATTATCAGAAACAAACACATTCTGTGCATTTTCATCATCCCATACCTTAACAAGGTTCATATGCTTAAAAAGGGGGAAAATATCTGTAAATTACGAAAAGTATATTACTATATGAATGGATTGAGAGAACAAAGAAGATGGCCTCTCCCAAGGGGAAGAAAAGAAAGACGGCTCAGTGCTCACCAAATAGTAAGGAAGGCGGAACCAATCCACAAAAACAACAGAAAATTGACGGATTTTGTCGACCTACACCATCAATAGTAAGTCGCGCATCCTCCCCCCTTCCCCTGCCGGATAGCTGCGAGGTGTTGGCATTGTTTGGGGATTCTTCCCTGGAATGGGATCTGCAGGCACAGGCTGAAGAGAGCCAGTTAAGAAGCCAGTCAAGAGGCTCACTAACCCCTCCGTGTAATCAGATGACAAATGACTCAGCAACTTTAAGTGAGCCAGCTCCATGCCGGGATAAGGGCCTAGAGTCGGAGTTTTACAACCACAGTGAATTAGCTTTAGGGCTTGAAAACCAGCTAAGTGATAGTATAAAGGATTTTATCAGCTGGCACAGTTTGCTCACTTCTCAGACAGTTTTGGCCATTTTTGACCAGTTTCCAGAGGTGAATTTAAAGTTGGGACTCTGTGATCAATTTTATTGCTGCGGTACAGATGGAAAAGCCGCAGGTAATTTCAACTGGTTGCCAGATAGAACGACCTGGCCAGATACTATCAATGGTGCAACCGAGGGAAGGAGTAAGCAGACAGCATATTGACTGTAATCGTGGGGAAAAAAAGACGGTGAGCTGGTTGGCCCTGAAATCCCGCAGCACAGGAGTGGGGGAGTGGGGGAACAGGCGATTGTTGAAGGAGCAGATTGTATTGAACATATATAATTCTGAAATAAGTGCGGGTAGATGGACTTCAAAAAGACAGATAATGACCTCTTTGTCACAGCTTACTCGGAGTTACAAGGGGGCAATAGATTTGGCAGCATATGAATATATTCCACAATGTGATAATTATTCCAAAATTCTTTTTAAATTCAAACAACAGCTCTTACCTAGCCTGCTCATGCGAATGAGAGGATTCTTGGCTTTTTATCAAATTTTACCAACTCGAGTTTTTTCTAGTGGCGAAGTCAACCCACTGATCCAGAGAGCCCCCAGGGAGAGTGTTGCAGTGCATGGGATGGCTGACTGGGAAAGTGAACTAAATGGGGAAAGCAAGTTAACTGAAACGGGGAAGAGATTTAGCATTACAGAGGAAATGTCGGTTAAGGTTTTGGATCCAGTTAATGTGAAACTTCCTTCAATTGGCTTAATGCAAGATGAGACATTCGATTCTGCCTGCTTGGAAACTTTTTCCTCACTTTCATTAACTGAGCAGCAAGAAGTACTTAATAATCTTAAAGAGACGAGGAGGCTGCTGAAGCAGACCATTTCCTCTGCTGTCCTTTGGCGTCGATTGTTCTGCCCCCCATCAAGGCATGATGCAATTCCGGAGAGTCAACAGTTTATAAGTCCAGGAAGCCTGCTGCCCACATCTATACAGCACAAAGTGCCAGAGACAGCAGACCTGATAGTGCAAAGTGCTGTGAGAGATGGAAGGCACCCAGGAAGGAATCCCCCAGTCCCCCTTAGTGGCAAAGATGATTCCAAGAAATGACGTAAGTGCAGTGCCTCATTTAAAATCATTTACCCTGGAGGCAGAGATTAATAGAGCCTATGGATATGCAAGCCTGAAAGCAACAGGCAGAGCAATGACGCCTAAACAGACTTGTATGGAGCTCAGGCGATTATTTATTTATTTATTATCAGATTTATCAGATTAAATGGGTGTGTGAGCGTAAGTGAGGGAGGACAGGTGGGAGAGATTATTCAAGAAGCCTGACTAGGAAATAGTGAGCAATCATTTTCTCCAAAAATACACTTCCTCTCTTGGAATGTGGCAGGATGGAGAAGAAGCTGGTGCACAGACGACTGTATTAAATTTTTAAACAGGTACCAAGTAATTGCCTTACAGGAGACTTGGGTTAGTAGTGATGAGGCCCCCATTGAGCTCCCCGGGTTTAATATTTGGTAACTGCCAGCAAAGAGGGTAGCTATAAAGGGAAGAGCCTCAGGAGGGTTGTGCATCTTGGTAAAAGATGAATTAGGATGGAAGAGAAATGAGATATGCTCAGACCCCGGCCCTTTATTTTTTTAAGCAATCCATTTGGCATATGAAGGGAAGTCAATGGTATTTGTAAATGTGTATGTTAATCCAACAATGGGCGATTTGTGGGAGGCACTAGAGGTAAAAATATTAGATATACGAAAAAATTTATAAAAGCACCTTTAATTTTGGCAGGGGATTTTAACGCTCGTATGGGTCCCTCGTTGAAGCCTTTTATTGAAAATGGTACAATTCCAGATGGATATTTACATAACCAACAATCATGGGACTCCCAAGATAGGAAAAAAAATAAAAATGGGGGGAAATTTCTAACAATGGTATACAACTGTAACCTTCAAATTGTAGGCCAGCACTCGGAAGCTAAAAGGTACTCCATAACTTTTTTTGGCCCTAAGGCATGTAGCTCTATTGATTACTTTTGTGTTTCTCACAGCTTAGTGTCAGGGGCAACTTCGGTCTTGATGTTACCAAGGCCAGAAAGTGATCATCTTCCGATTGAGACGTCCCTGGCAATCCCTTCCAATTTAAGGAAAAGGAATCAAACAATTCAACAAATAGCTTCAACTTAGAAATAGCTCATGAGAGAAGACTAACATGGAAGAGGGTTGATAGTAAAGCAGTGACAGAATTTATGAATTCACCACGTATAGAAGCCTTAGTGCATATATACTCAAATAGTACGGGTGAACAAGAGCTTATAGTATATCAAATACTAATCAAATAATTTGTGGCGGAAATATGCCACAAATTGAAGCATATTTCCATGACTACCAAGCCAATGGGCCAGTTTGATTCTAGTTACTCAACGTGGTTTGATAATGACTGCAAGGAAAGGAAAAAAACAGCTTAGGAAATCACTTAGGAGATACTTAATCAGCCCAAACATGGAATTACAGAATGAGTATATGCCTTATGGTGATAAGGCAGAAATATAAGCAGTTATTGAAGAGGAAAAAGGCCTCTTATATTGACAACTTATGGGCTGGCCTAGAACAGGCAGCAAAGCTGGCCTCACCCATACTTTTCTGGTTGGAGGTCTCAAAAATTATTAGAGATAGAAAACCAATAAGTGACCCAAACATTACTGCAGAAAGTTGGGAGAAGCATCTGGCCACTCCAGCAGCAGCGGAAAGCTCTGATGAGGCGATATACTCTCTGAGCTTGATACAGGGATATGAAGATTTACCCCAGTGGAAAGAAGTGTCAATCATAGAGGTGAGGCTTTTAATTTCCTTCCTGAAGACAAACAAAGTTCCAGGGCAGGATGCGCTCCCGGCATTGTTATTTAAAGATAACATAGCCTGGCGGGCACCTGTCCTGGCGGGTCTCTTTACTTTTATCAATAGAACAGGGCAAATTCCTGCCAGTTGGCATTCATCAATAATTATTCCATTATATAAAAAAGGCTCTAGAGATAACCCAGATAATTTCCGTTTAATTAGTCTAATTGATATATCAGCAAAAATTTATGCTAAGTATTTGCTTCATAAATTAGAAGATTGGTTAATGAGAAATAACATTTTAGCTGAAGAACAGACAGGCTTCAGGAGTGGAAGATCTACTATGGATAATTGTTTTGTGTTGGACCATCTAATAACAAAGTTTAAGTTTTGGAAAAAAACACTGTATGTGGCATTCATAGACCTGAAGGCAGCCTTCGACTCAATTAATAGACAAATGTTATGGGATAAATTAGAGGCTATGGGAATAGAAAATAAATTGTTATATCTAATTAGATTATTATACATGGAAACCCAGGTAAGAGTTCGAGTGAACAGGACAGGATCTGTAACTAATGCAATCCCAATAAAGAAGGGCATTAGACAAGGTTGCATCTTAGCCCCAACACTTTTCAATTTATATTTAAATGACCTTCCAAAATGTTTGGAAGACATATCACTCCATGGGCCTAGTATAGGAACAAGACAGGTAAATTGCTTGTTATATGCTGATTATATAATTTTGCTGTCGGCCTCCATGGCGGGGCTACGAAGATCACTCAGGAGGTTGGCAGCATATTGTATAAAAAATAGCTTGACAATTAACTTAGAGAAATCAAAGGTAATGATATTTAGCAGGCAACAAAACACGAGGAGATGGGTTTTAAATGGCAGAAGAATAGAACAAGTTCAGTCATTTACCTATTTAGGGCTAGTATTTCAGATAAATGGCAAATGGAATAAGCAGGTAAAAGCTGGAGCTCGGAAGGCCTTGGCTCAGATGGCCCAACTAAACAAACTTATTTTAGAGAAAACTTCATCTTCATTAACTCCAGTGCTAAAGGTCTTTCAGGCGAAAATTGAACCAGTACTTACCTATGGGGCAGAAATATGGGGGTTGGTTAAGTTGCCTGGGCTGGAAACTCCTCAAGATAAGTTCTTGAGGAGAATTTTGGCAGTGTCCCCTGGAATCCCAGCTTGTGTAGTAAGGGTAGAAACGGGAATCTATGCGATTGGCACTAGGGCCATGCTGAAGACCGTTTATTATTAGTTAAGAATAATTGAGATGGAGAAAGGGAGGTTACCAAAGCTAGCGCTAATGGATCAGATTATCTCAAGTAATAAAAATAATTGGTTATCAAGAGTTCTGAAGCAGGTATCTAGCTCTGGTATTCCTTTAAATTGGCAGC